TGGAAATGACATATTATCTTTAAAGGACATTATGCAGGAGCCAGAAGCCCCTTTGCTGGACCAGTGCAAAACCTGCATTGATGTGTCGGAGCGTTTGGGATTGGAAACTTGCAAAGAAGGACTTGAAACTTTGGCTGCTGCTTACAAAATCCAAATGTCCTTAAATGACACTGTTGATCCTAAAGATCAGGCAAAACTCTTTGAGTTTCATCATGCCAACATGCCTTCATCCATTTTAGATGGTATGTTTGGCAAGGGTGCTTTGAAGGAAAATGTGAACTTTACATGTAAGAAAAACGTTTTTAATGGACCGTTTGGATTGTGTTATTTTTAAATGGTCACTATTGAGTTTTTGTACCTTGAAACTTGCTATGGTGCTTTGCCTTGGTTTAGTGGAAGGGGTCGTTGTGTTGAAAAGTGAGTGTTTGTTCATTGGAAAGTGTTGTGTTGTCTGGTTTTTATTAGAAGCTAAAATCTTAAAAAAGGAAAAAAAATTGGGAAACTAATTGGATTTTCCTGTATGTAATTTGATTTATTCTTTATTTCTTTGTCAGTGTTTCCTTCAAGTACTTTGCCATTCATGGCTTAATTTACCACTAATTGTATTTTAAAAAGTATCCGTTATTGCATTTTGCCCTATTTAAAGTAATAGTTTTAAACAGTTAGGTTGTGCCCAAGGGTTTCTTTTGTGTATGCTCTTGAAACTGTAATTTTATTTATTGGTGTTCATTTTTAAGCAATTTCGTAAAATAGTTAGTGAAGGACAGTTCAATTTTTTTGTGTGTGTTGATGGTAACTTTCTGTTTTTACTCTCTCTCATTTTTTAAATTCTTCAATGGTTTTAAGGTTTCATAAACATAATTTCATATTATTTAATTTTTTTGACAATTGTCATTTGTAAGAAAAAAGAGAAAGAAAGAAAAAAAAAATAATATTGATTAAATTGCAATTTGCCTGGAAACAAAAGGAAATCATCCTTACTCAAGCTTGGCCCTTGATGAAATTATGCTAACAATTATGGCTATTAACAAGAAAAGACAGATGTATCATAATTTAATTTATCATAATTTAATTTATTCGGGATGTGGGGGGGTATGAGCGAACATGAAAAATTTACCAAAGAGCTCTTGTATACTATGCCTGAGCTGTTCAGGGAATTTTCTTTGGGAAAATATTATTTTTTGTCAAACATATAAGGTCACATCCTATGTGAACGTTACATTGTGAATTAAAATGTCGACGCTACGCTTAGATTGATGAGAAGCTTAAATTTGTCAATTCGGTGTAGAAAGAAGTGTTTATAGTAGTTTAAATTATATAAACCGTTGCATTTACGCTATGGCCGGTTATTTATGGTGCTGTGCCAAAATAAATTTTGCTATGTTTGCTGTAAAATTGAAGAAATTATTTGCTAAATAAATAACTATGTTCACTTTAAACTCTGTCTACTCCGTCTTAGTAGTTGTAAGGAGCTGTAAAGTAGAGTCAGTTACTGGCGAAGTACACCAGAATGTATGACAATCTTCGTCATGCTCACGTTTTCTCTCATGCGACCAAGTATTCACGTGATACTCTGCACGTGAAGAGACAGTATTGTTTACTCGCTCTGGTCGATATGTACGTATTGTTTCTAGAAATATCTTCAGGTGATAGAATGGTCGATACATTAACGCTGGTTCATCGAGATATGAAGCAGCTGGAACATGATACAGTTGCAATCGGCTGCTCCTCGAGAAACTTGCTCGTCACTTTGATACCGTTAATTTCTCTTAAGTATCTTGATGAACACGTAATTGACGTCTGAACCAGTTGTTTCATAACATTTCTGTCCCATTATTTTAGTAGTCCTGTTGTGCAAGCGTTAAAGCCTGCACGCACATTACATCATCAACGTGCAAAGTGCCCGTTTGATTTTATTAAATTGATTTTAAAAATTTACAGGGAAAAATTCTTGGTTGCAGATGTTAGCAACCGAAATTTCAATGATGTAAGTTTGTCGGAAGTAACATAATCTGTCCGTTTGTGGCATCTTTTACGCCTTTTAAAACATGATTTACATATCAATGGCGTGCACGCGATTACGCACGTGCAGGTTTAACACGTACTCGGCCGCGGTTCATTGACTTTTGTCTTCTGGTCCACAATGCGCGCTGAAAGGTTATCCTTTGCGACTAAAAATAAGTCGTTTGTCAAAGAATATTGCCAATCGATTGATTTCTCTCGTCGTCGATAAGAACACATCATCCATAAAATTTCTTAAGGCAAGCATATCAGACTGTACAGGGTGATTCAGTATTATCAACTGAGTTGACAACGTGAATTGGCCATTGTTAAGAATTACAAAGCTGACGTTTCGAGCATTAGCCCTTCGTAAGAGCGAATGATCTAACAATATTCTTTTTCAAGGCTAAAAATTTAACTCGAAGTGCTTTCCTGAGATAAACAAACTTTTGGGGTAGTAATTTTGAAAATCCAAAGTACATGTTTGGATTTAACTAGCATTGGTTTGCATTCACGTGGGCAGCACACTACATTTTACCATATTTTGCTGTTTGCGTAGATATTGCTTCTGCATCATTCTAAAATGAACCGTGTAAAACGTCAAAGAGGACTTCGATAAGTTAAAATTAAAAGTACATCGTACGGACCTGAACTTCTCATAATTGATTGGGGACCCTCGGACCGGTCACCGCTAACAAGGCGGAGAAGTGATGCGTGGTACACTTTCAACGCAGCCGGCCACTCGCGCGATACCGAAGCGTGTAAGGGTGTATGCAAGGGTACAATGTAACGTGATTTCAGGTCGATTATTTTGAAAGGCGTGAACAATCCCCCGCTGTCTGTTGCAGTTTCTGCGTAACTCAAATTGCTACTAAATTGTCTCAACTTTAAAAAGGCCATATAATTTTAATCGATAATTTAAGTTGATATATAATACTCACATAGCAACATAGAGCTGGCTGTCCTTTAAAAGGATAGAGGCACTAAAAATTCCATGCTGTGACTTCGACATTCCGTGAACAGATCGTTACGAATTCGAGAATGTCTATCTCCTGCGGTCTCTTTCGCAGCCTTGTCTGGTCTGGCCACGCAACGCATTCTAAGAGAGAAACTGTTGCGTGTAAAGACCAAACATGGTAAACCAACGGCTGCCAAATTACCGAACGAATGTCGACTTTCGACAGAGCTGATTAAAACTAAATTTTTGTTCCATCATCAATGAGATGAGATGTAGCTTAGGTATATTACTGAACCCTAAAATGTTTGTCAAACACTACCGCGACCAAGGATTTGCAAGGTTAAAGACATACTCTCATAACCACATTTTCTTCCTTAGAGAGCTAAACCCTCTGACCCTTAAGAGTGACTAGTATCGGGATTATTTTAATTCTATCAGTGATTTGATTCTTCACAATGTCTCTATGTAAGCAACGTAAATGTACGGCGTTTAATGGCTGTGTCAGGGGCCCATTAATAATGGGCTCCTGCTGTGTTTTTCAATTTCGAAAGCTTGTCCCCAAGCTGTGATGTCGGTCAAGGTAAAACAGGCCGAAATTATTACCCTTGTGATTAAAGTGACGTTGTAAAAAATGGAACAAGATAATTTACCAGAAGGTAGAAAAGACGGGGGAGTTTGGGAGTTTGGGGTCCTGATCCCGTTTCACGCACGAACTTTAGAAAAATTAATGCGTCATGTGTACTTAAAAAGTATTTACATGTCACAAATTCGCGTAAAATTCACTTATCGCGTAACCATTTGGGCTAAATAACCCTTAACCACCCTCTTGCTACAACCTTCAGTGTTCCACGTACATTAATACATTTACATTGCCACAAAGCCCGTTAAAAGCGTCATTTCCAGAGTTGATCTAGGTGACGGTATGGTAATAATGTGTTCGCACTTTCAGCTCACGACTGCACCAAATTCCACGCAAACTCCTGATTACAAAACGAAAACCGCTCATTTTTCAATACTTCTTACACTTAGTAAATAACGTCTTATCCTGTGGATTGAGAAACGAACCTTTTGAACGACTGGAACTTGCTGATCTGAGCTAAATTAAAAATAAAGCACATCATCTTCAAAATAAAAATGTCCAGTCATTATGACGTAAAAAGTCTCCGCATTCCAATGCAACTTAGACGTAAACTAAATTTTCACTTACGTTAGTTTTTCTTGATTCTCTGTCAGTTAAGACGAACGAAGGAAAGGTAAGCGTTAAATGGCGGCTAGGGTTGTCAGCGGAACCTCACGATCTCAGACCAAGCTGGTCCAGACTCCCGGAGAGTAGAAATTAGCGAAAAAGGGGGAGAGCTACAAACGCGTTGTTTTACGCGCGTATGCTACTTTGCTTATCCCCGACACAGTTGCCAATCCCTCTGACGAAGGGCTAACGCTCGAAACGTCAGCCTTTAGACTCTTAACGGTGGCCAATTTACGTTTTCAACCCAGTTGATAACACCAAATTACCCTGTTATACTCTCCCACCTACGCAGTACCACAGTTTCTTTAGAAACTTACCCTCTCTACAGTTGCCAAAAGTCAGGCATGTGCAAGTGGATCAATATTTGCGCCGGCCTCGCGCCTGATATCAGCGGGAACTTTCAAAGGGAAAATTTAAAAAGCAACTGCTGTGCCATAGCGCACAGAATTCTATTAAAGGAAAAAAAGTAGAGAAAAGGGAAATTCGAGAATATTTGAACGCGAGGCTTATTCAAATTACGACTTTTGCGAGTATTCTGATTACTTTCTTTTTAACTCGACAACCTGAAAGTACACCATCGCACATGCGCAAACGTACGAACGCCATGTCATTATGCACTACCACCCACTGCAGGCGAGTCACCCTTAAGAACCAGTTCTCTGTGGCAGCCAACTCTACTCAACCACAAACAAAACATTTTAACTATTAAGGAAATCTTTATTGACAAGACGAATTTGTCCTTTTTAACACAGTCATTTAAAAAATACAACTGATTCTAAAGTTATATACCTCGATAACTATAGGATACAACTTCTACAAAACTAAAATGTCTTTAAAATTTTTAGAATTGACTCTTTTTGTAACAGCAATGTCAACTAAATATTATTCACAAAAACGTTAAAAATTAATTACTCAGATACCATAATTTCCTTAAGGATAATGACTTTGAAATATTTTTTAGTATTCCATAACGGAATCATGTGATTTAATTGCAAACGTTAACTGAGTAATGTTCTTGAATTTAGGGAATTTACAAAGAAAGGTAATTGTTACACATATCGTAACAAATAAATTGTTTCATCATAAACTTATAAAAAAGTTTTCTTAAAAGCTGTTCTGTAGGATGTCACGCAACACAGCTTCTCCCAGAAGGACGAGCAGTGCGTGACATTCCAAACAACAGTTGCTAAAGGTACTTATACCTCATTCGCAGTAAAGCTTTAAAACGTGTCTTTAAGCCGTTTAGGTTAACACGGTTAAAAAGTTTTCTTCATAGCTGCTTCAACTGATGTTTGTTGACTTCCAATTTAACATATTAAAAATACATGTTAGTGAATAGATGAAACCTGTGGAAAACTTTTTCTGTTTTTGATTTTAATTCTGTCAAACCCGGTTTGACTACACATGTTTTGCCAGTGTGAACGGGGTTTAATTTGAGCTCTGCATTTCATCCCAATACAGTTGGAAATTGTAGACAATATTAGTTATTTTTAAAACAGTAAAATGTCGCATGTGAAATTCCATTTCTCAAAAAAAGCAATAAATATCATTCGTATTCTACAAATTCAAGTTGGTGCTTTAAACAGCCCTGTTTTTTAATACAAATTTAGCATAAATTAGGATGGCCCTTTATTCAAGGGATGTTGCCTCCATGAGGATGTTGGTGATTAACGGTAAATGAAATCTATATACAATGTTTTCAGATTCCTCTCCACATTATGAGCAATACAGATACATCATAGAGTTTAAAACGTTCTCTGTTAACAAAAAAAAGAAAAAAGAAAAGAAAAAAACGGGTTTTAGAGATAATACGGTTCTGGTAAACCAGACGGTAGCGCTAAAGGATAAAGAATTGTACTGCGCAGCCTTCATTCTCACCATTTCCCGAGTGATTAGCGTGCACGTGAATACACGAGGACTCCAATGGCTAAATATTGCCAGATTGGTAAATCACCATCTTTTAGTGCAAGAGTATGCTGTTAGTATTTTTCCCCTCGATTTTCAAATCTTTCTGCGAAGTAATAAAGGACGCTAGCTTCACTAACATTTGGAGGCTTTCCAGGCTTTTTAATTTTTACAGATTATCACTCATCCCTAACAGAGAGAGAGAGAGAGGAATACTTCGTTAAAACTCAAGGATCACTTAGGCCTAACCTTATACCAATCACTATCTTTTGTGTAGTACACTGGGCTCAATCCGTGTCACTGGAGTTTTTTCGTTGCATTTTCCACCCTCCCAAGAAGTCTGTGATTGCTTCCTTCTCATCTTGCGTTGTGCTTGCCATGTTCAGCGCATGCTCCAATATGGCCAAATGACAAAACTCGTACTGTTCAGGTGTCTGAATAGTGAGCGCCCTCTGAGTTCTTAAAGTTTTCACTGTGTTAAATACCTCACATTTTCCCACATCTGCCAAACGAGCCACATTCACTTCAATAGTGCAGAAGGTCCCAGTGCGACCAATACCTGCACTGCAGTGCACTATAATTGGAGGGCCTCTTGGGTGTCCCTTCCACTGCGACCCTAATGCTTGCACTGCATCATTTTGTGCCTCCCGGACCAGACCAACAATATGTAAGCATGACTCGGCAGACGACGGCACTCCAAAATCTGGCCAAGAGGTCATTTGGAAGTGGACTAGTCTTCGTTTCTCTCCTGACTACGATGTGAGCAAAGATGTATTAATCCTACCTACCGGGTTCAAAAATTAACCTCTCCAAAAAATATCGATACATTCAGGAACAAACATGTGATAGGGTAAACAATATTCAGACCAAATTCCCAAACTCTCCGTACAACTTCACAAGACATTGTATGACAGCTGGGAAAGAGAGATCTTTGGGAACTAGAGAGTGACTGTATGGTTAATATGTTGTAAAAATAAGTTTTCCATTTATTAAAACGATCAGCGAATTTGTGCTACATTAGCCCAAATCCTTAAACTCTCCGTATAACTTCACAAGAAATTGTATCACTATAACTGCTAGAAAAGATAATTATACAGCAAATCTTTGGGAGCAAGAGGGTTACTGTATGGTAAAAACAAGTTTTCCACTCAAACGATCAGCGAATATGTCTTAGACTACTTGTTTGGATGGAAAAATGGAGAAGATGCGAATAAAGGAACATGCACTGCGCGCCTTGAGCGAGTCGGAAACACGAAATGGAAAGAAGACTATTCACCATTGTGATTCAGAACACGATCAACAAGACATGGAAACAACGAAATCTCCATGTTAATTTACCTAAATTCTCTTAGGAGAGGAAAAGGCAAGTAAACAAATATCAATTTGTTTAATTTCCGTTTGTGATCGATTAAGAGGGCGCCGCGAGTCTTCTACACAAACCACATCGCTCCCTGAAGCAGAATCAATTGAAATCAAGCAATCGTGCAGTTGATAACTTGATAATCTGGAGTCAAACTCTTCCACAAAAGCCTTGAAGATTTAAGACACCTTCTCCGTCTTCTCCCAGCTATTATATATGATATAAATCACTCACCCTTTTGTGCTTCATCCAGAAAACTCTTTCTACATGATCCTCAAATTCCAAAGTTTCTTCATGGGACACATCTAATGTTGCAAACTCCTGTGTTTCATTATTTTCGGGCCAATACTGAATACACTTCCTGCGACTCCTTTCAATGCACCTAGGATAACAGTTTTCACTTTTAACGAGTCACTCAATAATTAAATGGTAATTTCTGGCAATATGACTCATAGCAGTGGAGACTTAAAATGAGATTGAGAATGCTTTGCCTTCATTCAGGGTAGATAAAAAAAGAGATGAAACCAAACGAGATGGGAAGCCATGCCAATGACGTGTGCTTGATGCTAGATGAACTAAATTAATATCTGGTATAACTAATTTGAAATCTGGATTAAGTGGTTTAATATCTGGTAAACTGGTGTGACATCTGGATTAACTGGTGTGACATCTGGATAAACTGGTGTGGAATCTGGATTAACTGGTTTGATATCTGGTTAATTAGTGTGGCATCTATGTCAACTGGTTTGAAATCAGGATAAACTGTTGTGACATCTGGATTAACTGGTTTGACTTCTCATTTAACAATACATTTGCATTTGTTATTCAAGGTCTAGCTTTTCTTCTAAAGGAATAAAATCATTCCCAATTTTGCCACTCAACCTCAAAACGTTTACATCACTAACTTAGTGGCAGCAACAAGCGAATGATACGTCCAAAAACCGTAAAGTTATCTCTGTTGTACACTTGTCAAAAACTTCATCATCCTAATCCTTCACATATGCCATGGATAAAACGAAACAAACTTTAGCTTTTCTTTTAACTAAAAGAGCTATCAGAAAAAAAAAGCTTACCTTGTTATCATGACAATGACATAAACCTGTTGTTCCCAAGCCATTTGCCAGAAATCACCTTTGGTGTGGGGCAGGGGACCTAAAGAGTAGTAATTATTCATAACAGTTAATAATTTCTAATAAAGGCAAATATGAAGATGCATGCACGCAGACTGAACAGGGACTACTGTACAGCAGAAGAAAAGTCATGAAAAACTTAAGCTTCACTATTCTCATTTTTTTTACCATAAAAAATCCCTGGATAAAAGTTCACATGTAAATTTGTTTTACTTTATAATTGTATGTACATAACATCATTCTGCAATTCAACCCACTCTTACTATAACAATGCACTCTAGATGGGCTCCACTGTCTCTATTGCAAACTCACTCTAACCTTGAGTGGCAATATATGCCCGTGCTTGCTTGTATCCATCCATAAAGTTTGCATGAATGTAATTTGATGTCTAGAAAATAATTGCAAAAACCTGTTAACTCCCATGAGTGACCAAGACAGAATTTCTCCTTACTATATCTATACAATATCATGCAGACCAGTGATGAGAATAAAGAAAAATATCAATTATGGGATTACTAATTGATCTGATACCAAATTCTCCAAACTAACATAATGAGAATCATTTGGCAGACTAATGAGATCTTGGGAGTTAAAGGGTTAACCTTAAAAACCTAGATTTTCAAGAGATGGAAAAAAGAAAAGCTACACTCCATTACATCTAGCCTGTATTAGACTCTTAGTAGATGAAGATGTGCCAGAAGAATGGCAAGCAGGCTGATCTAATTGTGGTTACAGTTTTCAGAAAACCACACTTTGTATCATTCTTTTCTCTTCTGCTTATTTTGTGAAGCAACATAATTTTTCACATGCCCTCTTTTTTGCTTGCCACAACTGACTGAGAGCCTGGAACAAGGTCTTATATGTCACAAGTCAGCTGCAGGGGTGTATGAGTGATATATCTGCCACTTTTAAAAGAGAATTAATTTTTGTCCGTAGAGAAAATCTTGTTTAAAAAGTAATATGCTCAGTGGCATAGGTATAATGTACTTTTTAATGAAAACAATTTATTTATTTCAAAGGCTGTATATTATGATAAACTTGCCGTTTGTCCATCCAAATTGGACAGCTTTACCCTTGTTTCTTCCAGACACAAGACATCCGTGTATCTGTTTTTCTTCACATTCTCTGGCAATCTGCAAATAATGCATTCAAAAATATAGTTATTAACTTCTCCAACATTGCAAATTTGGTGCCACAGTAACCAGTTTGGCAACTCATGTTCTGCAGTCTGTTGCAAGCTGTAACACCTTTATTTCTGCAAAATACATAGTCTCAAGTTAATCAAGATAAAGGTTTGCTGCTTTCTCCTTCTCTAAATGATTAGACACATACTGCTCATTCTAAAGAGAAGCAACATAGTCAAAAGTACAGTAAGTCATGTCATATTAAATCAAATAACTCTTCTATTTTTTTTTCTGAAACAACTACAATTTTTTTGGAAGGTTTATTTGGATCCAACACAGTGACCAGCTCCCAGTTGGCTTGTTAGCTCAATTGGTAGAGCACTGCACTGGTATCGCAGAGGTCATGGGTTCAAATCCCATACGGGCCTGAATCTTTTTTTTTTCCTCCAGGTCTTATTTCAACTACTTGTTTAGTAGTGTTCATAGCTGCGAGGATCGCTTATAATTTAGATCACTTACCCCCTCAAACAATAGTTGGTTACAGCAGACAAATAATCAAAGAGGCAATAAGAAAGTTGAAGATGGCAACTAGGATCAACTATATCAATGGCGATTGTTTGTGGCAAACACCCTGGCTTAAAGTTAGTGTGATGGACTCTGGATCGCAGGGTAATCCTCCTGGTCAATTCAGGCAGTGGAAAATGGAATTTGCTCTGTACAGATGAGCCTCTCTGATTACAAATGATGCCCTTGAAAAATCAAAGCTACATTTTCCATGATGGACACAATTCCTCTAACTTAAATGCTTTCAATGATGGTTCTTGTAGTCCTTGTTTGTTAAGAGATTCCAACAAATAACAACATTAACAAGACCTACATGAATCCTTACCTTGTAGACTGAAAACTTCCAGATGCTGTGTTGGTCTTTAAATTAAAAAACTGTAAATTGATTCCTCTCCTTTGTTGCTTCATCATGTGTTCAATAAATTCCATTACAGTGAGAGAACCTTCACTTCCCAGCCCTGCTTCATGATCAAATGTTAGAGCACCAAATTTGTTTGACACAGTTTCGTCAAGTCTTTCAAAGTTTTTTGCTGCCCCATTCAAACCACCCTTTTCTTGACATGTCTGGGAGTATGATTCCAAGCACTTGTTCAACCAAGCTAAATGATCCACTTTCAGGGATCCACCCAAGCTTTCAGGGATCGAAGATTCTGGAAGTCTCTGTGGTAATACTTCCCTTGGAACTACCTCAATCCTTTCCTTCAGTCTTTCTTGGAGAAAGTTCATGAAAAAGGATAACACAGCCTTAAACCAAAATGGAGGGGAGATAATAAAGACATTCTTGAGTCTGGCTGGATAACTACCCTGAAAAGGACAAAAGCTTCATGTAGTTTCTGATCAACACTTTGGGTGGTGTAGTAAAATAAGGAAATGTTTGCCTTTGAAATTATTGGCTTTAATCTGCAAAATTGCCATCTTAGAAGAAAAGGAGACAAACATGGAGGCTGCCTGCAATGAGTATTAAATTGTAGACTCATGCAGAAAACAAACCATGTTCATTGCACACAATTAGTTGTTATATCTAAAATGTAATCTATCATTCATGTGGCTGGAAGAGCAGGGCTGTCACAGAAAGCCAAGTACCAGGGATTTCCCCTAATCACTAATTATCAGTTAATTAAACAAAGTTTTGCACTGTCTAACAAAACTGTGTCCTAAACAATCCTCAATTTAACTGGACCTTTTATCCAAACAGTTACTTTTAGAACAGTGTTGAGACGGCCAAAAGCTAACAGTAAAAGGAAAATTATTTAATTAAATCAACCCTTTTTAAGGGAAAGCATGAGGCACACTGCTTGGCATGTGTAAAACTGTGGTTTGGGTTAGACCTTTTGTAAATAACTGGCCCCCTAAGAGCCTGAGCCATGGTTATTTGAATGAAGGCTAAACTATATAATTATGGAAAGTGAAAATGCATCTACTAAGAAAACTGTAAATAAAAAAAATTGAAATTCCAGAATATGCTTTATTGACAGAGGTTACATGATTTAATAAAGTCAAAACATTTTTCTGGCCAAAATCATTTGTATTTTGTTGGTCTGCCCAAAGTGTTTTGTCACAACGATTATAATAAAATCATGATTGATTGTTAAAATCTTTTCAAAGTCTTGTTGATGCAGTAAAACAAAAATTAACAGCATTGGCATAAAAATTTCAACAAAATTAACATGTAACACACATGTACCTAGATTGATCAGTGTTTTTTTTCTTCCCAAAGCCTCCATCCCTGCTCATCCCCTTTCCTTGGCCCAAGCAATTTTCAACTAGAAAATATTTGTACCCCAGCTACCTTTTTTCATTTCCCAGTACTTTCTACTACTTGAAAAATTACTGAGGAGTGGAGACATGAAAAATGAACAATCTCATACTTCTTGAAACAAGGTCACTAAAGCTTGAAAGAATCAAAGATTCTGTTGGCATAAAACAAACAGTCATGTACAAGATGGTGCACATGCATGTAAGTATTTCAAAATGCCGACTGTAACATTTAATCAAGTGCAAGGTTACCTTCAGTAGATCCATGACTTTTCGAGCGAGACCATAATCAAAATTATGATAGCCTGATCCTGTCATGTCGTACAGCAGAACCAACCCATTCTTTCGAGTTTCGTAACTGGAAAATACAACAAAAATGTAAAAGGCCTAGTGAATAGATAACCCACACAACTTTAATGTCTAGTGGTCAGACATTCAGATACATCACAAGATGAGGTAATATACTGCATGAAGGGACAGCCAAGTTTACCAGAAGGCAAGCTGGTATCTCATTACATTTTAAACCAAAGCACTAAATAAAATTGAAAAAGGGCCAGATATACCCACAAACCCAAATATTCATGTCTTATTACATTCAAGTAATCATACTCACAGAATAAAGAGAACTGCAGTGTATGTTGACATATTTTGTACCTTTTCAAACACTCATCCAGCTGAAATGCAATTCCCTGTATAACTGTCCTGTGAGATGTTGCTGCTGGAAAGTGCTTGCTGGCAGTAAACACTGCTATTGCTGCTCCTCCTGCATCACGACTTTCCTAAATAGGCAGGAGTAAGAATTATTTTATTGTTTAGTAAAGGTCTCACATGCAAGTGACCTCTATGGATTAGTAGTTAGTTAACATGCTGGAATGTTAACTAACTACGCAGTGCACATATGTGATTTTCATATATTTCCAGTCATTATTCACCACTTGGAAGGTTTATTTGGATCCAACATTATGACCGCTCCCAGTTGGCTTGTTGCTCAGTTGGTAGAGCGCTGCACCAGTATCACAGAGGTCATGGATTCAAATCTCGTACAGGCCTGAATTTTTTTTTTTAAGGATTCATTTCAACTACTAGTTAAGTAGTGTTCATAGCTGTCAGGATCGCTCATATCTCATTTCTTCTCGCAGTGCACATATATGATTTTCATAATTTCCAGTCATTATTTACCACTTAGAAGGTTTATTTAGATCCAGCATTATGACCAGCTCCCAGTTGGCTTGTTAGCTCAGTTGGTAGAGCACTGCACTGGTATCGCAGAGATCATGGCTTCAAATCCTGTATGGGCCTGAATCTTTTTTTCAGGTCTCATTTCAACTACTAGTTCAGTAGTGTTCATAGCTGCAAGGATTGTCTATATCTCATTTCTTCACCACAGTGCACATATATGATTTTCATATATTTCCAGTCATTATGCTGGAAAGAACTTTTTTTTTAGTTTAAAACTTGTGTGAACCCTTTAACTTCCAAGATCTGATTGTTAATTCACCCCTCTAGCTGTTACACATTTCCTTGTAAATAAGTTACAAGAATTTGGTATTAGATCAAGATAACAACTTCTACCTGATGCATTTGAGTGATACCATTACCTGTTTGCCGGATAATGAATGAATATTGTGGGGAGAAGTTACTTGTTAATCACTTCTGAGAGTTAAAAGGTTTAGTCATTTAGCAAAATACTTTGATTGTCACAGTGGCTCTCTCCAGCCATGAGCATAAATGGAATTGGATATCTGCAGATTACCAGGGAAAGCTGATGAAAAGCTTGGGGTAACCTGCAATAGACTTAATTAAGCTTCCCCTCTGTAATGAGAGCAATGATCCTTGTCACCAGGATACCCTTGTATTGGCTTCATGGGCTACTGCACTCATAAAAGGGTAATTAATTAGTTGATAACATAAATTAGCCACCATAGAGAGCTTCTAAGCTTCATGGGCTACTGCACTCATAAAAGGGTAATTAATTAGTTGATAACATAAATTGGCCACCATAGAGAGCTTCTAAGCTGACATTTTGAGCATTAGCCCTTTGTCAGAGGGGCTAACAGGGGCCTTCCATTTGCTCTGATGAAAGCTAACACTCTAAACGTCAGCTTTGACACTATTTACCATGACCAAATTACCCTGTTATACTCTCCCACCGATGCAGCATCACAGTTTCTTTAGAAACTTGCCCCCTTTAATGCACTCACAGCTTCTTAAACAGCTCAATTAAAAGACTTCGCAATCTGAAGAACACCTCAGGGCGATATAAAATGTTCCCATGGCAACTTTGTAAATTTCCTTTTTAATTAAAAAAATTAAAAATTATGTACCCAAATTCGGGAGCAATTCCTTACCCACAATACTCATTGTAAATAACAGACTCTTACCTACTGCATTACACTTAACACCAGAACAAATAGATGACTACAAACATATCAAGTCACTCACCAAAACCGTAAACTTCCCACCAAGAAGTTCAGAGCTCAGAGGTTGATCATATGGAGCCAATTCTTGTAAACGATATAATTGACGTTCATACTATGAAAGTAAAATCCAAAGTACACAGTTTAAGTCATGGCTGATGAGAATTGCTGATCCTGTGTGTGCCGTGTCAATCTCAAATTATTGAAAGGTAACCCATAACTGACTCTGAAAAATTAGTTTCACCACTTAAAAAAGCACAGCACTAATTACCCAACAAAATGAAAATTAAAAATAATGCTCTACACTGACATCCTAATTTCACACTTTGTTACTGCTATCATTGCCATGATTGTCACATTTTTCTTACATCATCATGCCTTTATTTTCATTAACCCTTCAACTCCCAGATCAAATTTGTCATTCTCCTTAATATCAACCATACAATTCTTATAATGTTAGTTCAGAGAATTAAGTATTGGATCAACTAGTTATCCCCAAATTGATAATTTTCATGAACAGAAGAATAGTGATCACATTTGCAGAATGTTTGACAAAAGACGGAGGTGTTCCAAATCAACAGATTAAACAGATTAATGTTAGATGTGTTCATCTCCTTGGTATCATATATGAGGTAACAATTCAAAATTTTGGGCACATGAACAGAAGAATAGTGATCACATTTGCAGAATGTTTGACAAAAGACGGAGGTGTTCCAAATCAACAGATTAAACAGATTAATGTTAAGTTTTCTGCTCAAGGCTATATAAACTCTGAACTGTAATTAAAAATCTTGTAGCTGCTGGCATATAAACTTGAAAATTAAGGAATAAATTTTTTTCAGATATATTTTATATTCATTAGGGGTACAGTTTCAGAGGGATCTTTCTTTCCAATTAGTGCTGAATAGGAGTAATTTAAGGTAAATTTTTTTAAGGTCAAGCAGAAGTGAAAGCAACTTCAAATATATTTTATATTCCTTAGGAGTATAGTTGGAATTCAGGGGGTTTCTTTTTTCAATTTAGTGCTGAATAGAGGCAAAAGATAATTTTTTTAAGTTCAAGCAGAAGTGTGCAAAAGCAAGAAACCCTGAAATAAATCTACCTGGGCATAGAAAGCAATCAGTTTCAAGATACGTAATATCAAGGAACCACATGATTATTTTTACATCACTGGCAATATATTATGATTGACAAATTGCTGAAAATGGAATTACTACAAAAACACAAAAGAACATCGTTACCTACAAATATCTGCCTGTTAAAGGTCAAACTTTTACTTGTTTGGATCCAAGTAAATATGATTGAAACTGAAAAACTCTTGCAGCTTAAATACCTGAGTCGTTCATAATGACTTTAACTATGTCAAATTTTATCAACGGTCAAATTTAAGTTACTGACCATGATTATTATGGGCAAGCCAATATTTTTTTAAACAGATTAATTCATGTACATGAGTAATCCTCCTAAAAGAGTCAAGTACAAAGAATTAATTACATTCCTTGGAGGATTATTTTTCAACTGTGGTTCTTTCATTATTGTCATCTGAAAAATATACCAGTAAAATCGTTCGCAATTGAGCACACAGATATTAGGTATAATTAAAACATGTACAAAAAGAAGTTAACACGCAGCATTTATTGAACCTGAACCTGTTATTATAATTAGTTAGCACTAAAAGCTAGGTGCGGTATTTCACAAACAGCTGTTTTTTGGTTGTCCGAGACAGCTGGAAAAATTCGGCGGCGATTAAGAACAGAATATGGAAGTGTGTTAAAGTGTATGGGATTAATTAAAAAGTTCACGTTTTTGGAAATCACACTTTATCTAAGGCAGACAAATTGGAAAATCCTTAGCTGCTGTTATATTTTCCTTACCTGATATCGTCTGTATAGGATCACAGCTCGTTCGGCATTAAATTTTCTAGCCATTAAGAACATAAGAGCAGTAGATGTTCCGACAGGACTCAAGCCATTTTCGGCGCAATCCTTGTTGACCTCTCTCAAGAAAACGGCTATCGCCTGCGTTAGACAGCAAGGAAAGCAAGTCATATTTTGAAAGGGTTGAATTAAAAAATGAAGATTTAAGCGTATTGGACTGTTTACAGTTTTATACCTCCTGTTCCTGGTCAGATCGCACGATCGCTCCTACATCCGCCATCTTTAATTAGCATCTGTTGTGATAAGAAACACCGCTGACGAATGTCTACAGTTACACAGGTGCCCCAACATTTCTAGATTCAGGAACTTTCGTTGTGGCTTGGTTTACAACGTGCCCAGAATAATTTAAACCACAGGAATCAGAACACGGATACGGGATTTTGTTTGATCTTTCATTTTTGTTTGCAGTCTCCGCGCTACCGCCGTTTATGAAATTGTGTCGGAATGTAAAATATTGATGTAATAATAGAAAACGTAAATTGATAAATATCATCATTTCATTACTTTTGTTTTAGTTCTTCAATCAATTCTGTACGCCTGGGCGTGTCATTACAACTAATTCCTGTAACCCTTGTAGCATCCTTTTCATTGTCCTCAGCTAATACGAGATACTAGGCGTTTCCGGTCGGGGAACAAAAAGTCGCCAATTTTGGGCAAAATAAAGTCGTATGACGACAAAGCATTTCCTATCATTTTTCATTTGATACCTCTATAACTCACAGAAATTTATTTGTTTCTTGACTAAGTGCAAAATACGAGCAATAAATAAAGAGTCAAACTCGATTCAGTTGTTAGCTTAATTTACTTCCTAAAAACCACCATATAGGTTGAAATGCTCCGCAAGCAGGCAAGATGAGGCTGATCCTGTGTTCTGATTGGTTCATCACGACAGTGAGACAGATGCGACTAGGAAACATGTGTCAAATAATTGTTCTTTATTGACAAGGTGTATCGTATTGTCAAGGTGGCTAAATATTGTTCTTGTTCTTTTTTTTCTCCCTTGATATGAACCTCGACTTCGTATCTGCCCATAAAAGTCCACAAACAAGGAATTTGGCCAATATTCAACAGTTCTTACTGGGAAACTCGTTTATGAACGCCCATCTATTGACAAAGGCAGCTAATTTATGCTCACAGTATAAATAAGCTCAGTACATGAAATTTTATCAAAAAATTTGTCCACCAGATTTACCAATAGAAAGGAACGCTAATTAGTTAATTAAAATTTCTGAAAAAACTCAAACTTTTGAAAACGATCTGACAGAAAGTCCTAATTTTCCATGATCGTCTACTCAAGTAAATTTCAACCCCGCAAAAAGTAGAATCCTAAATGTTGGCTTTGAGGAAATAAGAAACCCAAAGCAATATAACTGAGAGGGAACGAAGGAACCAGTAGGCGTATTGGCTCCTTAGGTTATGACAGATTCATGACAGATAACAATGGGTCAAACGTAAACGGACTTTCAGTCGTACTTTCTCTGTTTCCACGACGTTGTCTTTCCTCCGAGACTGTCTACGGTCTGTCCATTTAGATATAGAATGAAAATTAGTTTATACTTTACAGGTGAATAAAATAGTGCTTTTCGCGCGTTCTGATTGGTTAGTTCGGAAATGAATAGCAAGTACTTTTTACCTCCGAGCAACCGATGAGACAATCGCAAGTCAAGAGTTTGATTTCAGACCATTTTCGGTATGTCGACATAAATGAGCTATATTTTTGGTTTCTGTTTGGTATATACTGAAAAAAACTACTTGCACATCTCTGTCGGTGAGAACATTAAGCAGAGGCTAAAAGATTTCTTCCTTAGGAAAAAGAAAATCAAAAGTTTTTTTTGTTGCAGTCAACGAGGTATTTCGGGAAGTTTACCCTTACGCCTAAAATGTGCGTGTTCTACCGAACTTTGGAGGATTTTGGTTGAGTCACAAAAAAATTTATCTGATCCCCCCTAAGGCTCTATAATATTCTTATGGATCCCCTTCCCTCCCCCCCCCCCCTTTTCATTGGCAGTTAATTGGCAGTCAATTTTCTATAGTACCCCCATGATACGTTGTTGGTGACTACTAATCCCCCACTCCGTTCCCCTTGAAAACTATGTAACCTCCCCAAAAAATGCCCCACTACCCCCCTCAGGAAATGCATAATGACTCTCCCTCGGGTGTTGTCAATTCTAGGACTTTTAACGCACAAATATCTGCCATAAGTCACCCAAAGACATTGCGATGTCTTTGGCGACATCATCATCACAAGCATGAGGCAAAGAGCCTATGAGCGAGTAATAGCGGGCCCACGGAATTAACAGTGCTCTTGAAAACAGACGGTTGTCTTTTAAATACCCGCTATGCCCCCATCTGTTTTCCGTTGGGTGGCCCCATTTTTCACAGTTTCTTGCAAGTATTGAGTGGTCGTCTCCGAGACGCGTAAAAGAACCGCAAGCGCGGGGAAAACTGTTACTGTCTGTTAAATACGCCAACACATTTGCTCCCTTGGAATCCTTGTTGGTCATGATGTGAAGCACGCGGCCAACTTTCTTTTTGAAGCAGTAGAACCGGATCTGTGTGAAGCCCATGTCGTTTCTTAGCTGATTGAAGCCCTTCCGTAACAAATAGTGGTTGTTAGATTTATATTTAGGGAGAATCTCCCTGTAAGAATTTGAGGTAACAGATGGAAGGTTATCAGGATTATTATCTTTCATAAGAAAGCGACCGATAAGAGTCCATCCACCTGACAAAAAAAAAAGGTATTTGTAAACATATCAAGGTAAATGGGTGAAAAGGTAAGCAAAGATTAGCTCTCGCCCAACCAATCTGATTGTTCCACTCCCTGTAGCCTCGATTTTGTACCAGGCTATTTTCACCTAGGTGCAAAAGAGAGGACCCTGGGTACGAAGTTACATTGTGTTGTGTTCAAAGGGAGAATAATATCATAACAAAATAATATCAGCTAATGACGTCCACCTGCTGTAATGGTTGTACTTACATTACTCTTCGCAAACAAAGTATTTATTTTCCTTAAGACTGACATGATTTTAGTTGTATCTTGTACAGAAATTGATTCAAAACAATACCCTAGAAATCTGGTTTGGGCAAGTCCTAAGTAGCTGTGGAACTAGATATGGAACTATCACCGTTTAAAACGCTGAATAATTTCGCTGTTCAACCAATAAGACACACGAAAATAAAGCACTTAACGGCGGCTTTTAACCTAGTTAAGGTCTAAACTAACCTTGTGCAGTTGCCATGTCACAGAACGCTATGAAGGGGTCCCCTGAAGCTGTTGGGTCGATCCAGTACTCACCATCCCCCTCAGCGTCACCGCTTGTCAAGATATCTTGGCAGGAATAGCCTGGGACCAAAGATTTTGAGCCTTTCTTTGCTGTAAGAAAATAGAAGTAAGAGGTCTTCTGTCAGCTCATGCGCTTCTATCTTACCTGGGATCAGAGAGTTATCTAGGTTACCTCGAAAGTTATTCTCCATATAGGTAGCAGCCGCGTTATCTATGAAATCCTCTGGTCTTGACTTCTTTGTCTCCTTGTTCAATCTACATTCCTTTTGATCCCAAAGATACGTCACACTTTGACACTTTTCCTCTGAGCTGCACTCAAAGAAACAGTGACCAAAATGGTGTGCGGATTCTCTTCTGTAGTCATGTCCAACTAAAGCAAAACCATGCTCTTCTCTGTTGTCCCGGCATACAAGACTTTTTGCACGGTCACCAAAAACTGCTGTGGGTTGGACCACTATGTAAAATAGGGCCGTTATTGCTTTGGCAAACATTCTGAAATACACAAAGACAGGTTAAGACCTCAAGTTCGCTCTCTCGTTTACGTTGGCAAGTGTACTATACTCGCCCGTAGCAACTAGAATTTACAGCGCAGTTCGACTATTAGATGTAACAGCGAAGGAATTCAACTTCTATTGAATCGTATTCGCGTTTCTGCGTGAGGTTCCGCAATAATTACATGATCGCTGTGGGCACTTGTTTCTCATTAGTACGTGTATGCTTTACTCGCCATGGGCAGTTTTTTTTCAATTAGTTGATTTACACTACGTAGTTCTTGGTTTGTCGTTTCGTTATCATCTACGTTGGTTTTTGCCAACGCGGCCGTGTTGTTTTGTATCTAAGAATTTCTCTGACCTAAATTGTCGGTTCGTTTTTATTTCATATAGTTTCTTTTTTCGGTCAGATATCTGTGTTTATTTGTTTTTAGTTCAAGCACAACTTCATTAATTTTGTAAAATGCATATGTATGCTTTCATTTCGGGGCGTAGAACCCTTAACATCAATCTTCATCGCCAAAGAAAAGTTCCTTGCTACTTATTTCAGCGAAAGTCTTGTCAAGAAAATCTTGCTGGACTAAAATCTCTTAAGCTTAAGTTTTCTCCAAAATCCGTCAAGTCACGTTTTGATTAAGAAGATTTGTAATTAAAAAATAAATCATCAGTTTTTTTCTCTTAGCCAAATGGAAATTTTTTTCTGGGACTAAGATTCTTCTCGTCAGAGCAAACACAACTTGATTGACGAGGTCTTAAAAGTACTCAGCTACCGTGTCGAATGCGAGAGTCATAGGGTTTCCAACGATGATAGAGTGCGAAAACACAAGCTCACAATTGAATTTGCCCTTTCTTGTGGTGCCATCGTATCATTAACTCACAACTGCCGCATTTCTTGTGAATGATTCAGTTTAAACTTGAACATTGTAGTTACTTAAAACAGTTTCTTTTCTCACCTTTTCAGGGAAAATGCACTGAACCTCGTTCTCCAGGAGGCCGCTATACAAAATATAGAAATAACATCTCAAAACGTTTTAACAATACGTTGGAAAAGGCTAATTAAAACTAATAATCACCCACCCACCTTGATGAATAAATTTATAACTAAAACTGCAAAGAGAGTTCACCAGGTAAAATAGGACAGCTGCAAAATTTAATTTAATAAGTGATTTTATTGATTGTTTAATGTTTTGAGGAGATCATCACACAATCTTACCTCTTGTTATCTGCGCAGAGCTAGTTGTGTAAAACATAATTTGGTTTTCAATGTTTCCGGCCGTCATTAGTCCACTAGAAAACTCAGCAGTCAGCTCTGAGGGGGGGCTTGTTACACATTTAACCTCTTTGTTATCTGCTGAAAAGATAATTCGTTTTATCCAGTCAAGCCTTTTCTTGGCGGTCACTCACGGAGAATGGCCGCTTAATACAGGTTTGCCGCTATATATAGGTTCCACAGATTAGGGGTATTGTAAAAAACGGTAAACAACGCCACTTTATGCCATAACTGACCATTCGATGTACAGAACCTCGCTCGAAACACT